CCCCAATTCTTGGACGTCGGATGACAACGAAGAGTATGAAAAATAATGCGCTTTTTCTCATCAAATTCTTCTTATTAATCAAAGCATTTCAGCATATCAACAACAAGTTGCAAATAACCAAGTTGCTATGGATCCTAATATAATATCTCAATTCCAACAACAGATTACAAATTATGAGATATCACAAGCAAATCTTATTAGACTACTTTCGCCACAATATCAGCAATACATTTTTCAACAACAATCGGTTCATCAAGCTCAACAACAGCAAATGCAGCTCAATCAAATTAAACAACAAAGATCATATATCGAGCTTCCTCCTCAACAACAAATGGTCTATAACCAACAAATACAACAGAATCATATTATCCAACAAAATTCTCTTCAAAATCAGCAACGTAGAATTTTAGCAATGGCTCATCAACTAAATCAACAACATCAACAGCAACAACTGAATCAAATGAATCAAATGAATCAAATGAGTCAAATGAATCAACAACAACAACAACAACAACAACAACAAAATCAACAAAATCAACAACAACAAAATCAACAACAACAAAACCAACAGCAATCAATGCCATCATTCGAAATGGTTTCACCAATGGCCGCTGCAATGAATGCTAGTCCAAACTCTACAGGTGCAGCAACTCCAACATCACCACCCAACTCTACAACCTCAACAACTACCTCATCAAAGAAAGAGGATAAAAAGAAAGAAGATAAAAAAGATAAAGAGGACAAAGAGGATAAAGAAGATAAAAAAGATAAAAAATCAAAGGCTAAAGAAAAAACAACCCATTGGACCCCAGAAGAACATACAAAGTTTTTAGAGGCAATTACCCAATTTGGTGTTAAAGATTATCATGCAATTGCAAAGGTTGTTCAAACTAGAAATCATCATCAAGTTAGAACACATGTAAATACTTATTTAAAGAACCAAAAGAAATTAGAACAAAAAGAGCAAGTTTCAACTCCAACAACAGATACTCCTCCAACCAATATTCAATCCGACAGTACTGAGCAACCAACTCCTCAGCAAACTCCTCAACAAACCTCACATACAGAACAATCACTACAACCACAAGAGTATCAAACACAAGAATTAAATCAACATCAAAATATGCAACAAAAAATGGATCAACAACAACAATATCAGCAACACAGCACACCACAACAATATCAACAACAAGGAACACCACAACAGTACCAACCTCCAACGCCACAACAACAATACCAACCTCAAGGAACACCACAGCAATATCAGCAACAAAGTACACCACAGCAACAATACCAGCCACCAACACCACAGCAGCAATATCAACAACAAGGAACACCACAACAGTATCAACAACAAAGTACACCGCAACAACAATATCAACAAAGTACACCACAACAATACCAACAAAGTACACCACAGCAATATCAACAATCATATGATGGTCATAATGTAACCTCACCAATTGACCAACAGAATATAAATAATATGAACACTTTAAATAATAATAATAATAGTAATAATAATAATATGAACAGTTTAGGTTTAGAAAACTCTATGATGAATAGTATGGACGGTCAAAATACTAATAATAGCCTAATGAACTCAATGGGATATAATGATATGGATGCCATTGGAATAACCATGGGTTTTGGTTTAGAAAATAATAACTAAAAGCTATTTAATTTAAATATTAAATAAATGTTAAAATTAATAAACAATAAAATTTTTTTTGAAACTTAATTTTTTTATTTAAAACTGTAAACTTTTTTTTTTTTGGATTTAAAAAAATAGCAAAATACTAATTTTTATAAAACAAAAAAACCTTTTAATAAAAATAAAAGTTATTTTATATACAATAGATTTTCTTTTTTTAAATAACAAAATATAAAAAATTTATTAAAAAAAAAAACTTTTATGTAATATAACAAAATTATTTTGAAATTAATTTTAATTTGAAGCCTGGTTGTATAAACTTTATAACTTTTTTAACTCTGCCTTGATCCAATGAATATTCCTCTGGCTGGTACCATAAATCACCTTCTTTACCTAGATCGTGATGGGATGTAAATGTAAGAAATCTAATTTCAACTGGAGAGGAGTTTGCTGGTTTATTTAATAAAGTTTTGACATAGGGAATTGAAATTTTGACAACACTTGAAAGAATATTACCTTGGTGATCTAAAACTCTTACTATATTTCTATCTGAGCTTTCAATACCATGTTTGAAAACAAACACAATACGATTGGTTGTTTCGTCCACAAAATAAAGTGATAAGCTTTTTAACTCCAAATTAAAATCTTTACAAAAAACTAAAACCATGGTACCTTCATTTGCATCACTCGGATTTTGATAAATAGTGACTGGTGCATTTCTGTCAATTTCGTCTTGATTTTTAATTTCTTCGTGAATATTATAAAAGTGATAACGTAAAAGGGCTTCTGAATGATTTTTGCATAAAATATCACAGTATTCACCTTTTTTACTTGATGGAATTTCTATACCAACGTTGAAATCACCCTTGTAAACCCTTACAAGCTTTTGAATAACCTTAAGGTTTAATCTAAAAAGCTCTTCACGATTTGCACGAAGTTGATCTTCTGAAAGAACTGAATTTAAAGAACTTTGAACATCGTTAGTTGGTAGTGCTTGATGGTGACCTACTTCCTCCTCGTCTTCGTCATCATCTATTGGTGCACTATATTTGTTTTGGGTGAAAAAGTTCACACCATTTGCTGCTGCTGCTGCCACCCTGGATGATGGCATGAATGAGTAATTACTCTTAGTTTGTAAAACATAAAATACAGGTAAATATGGTGCATATTTAGGACGAGTGGTAAAAACTAATCTTTTTGATCCAATAGAGTGAATAATAGTTCCGTGGATCGATTAAATGGAAAATTAAAACCAAATGAGTTGGAGTATTTACTCCTTGATTTTTAATTTTAACATTAAATTGAATGGTATCTTGCTCTTGAACTACATTTTGCTGAGTTTTAAAGGCATCATTAGGATTTGATGCTGTAATATCTTCGTGGGTACCCTTTACTACTACCTTACCAGAGAGACGTTTAAAAATATCCTGAGTATTTGCATTGCCACCCAAAACACTTTGCTTTACATTAATCTTGAAGAAGAAAGTTGTCTCTTTTAAGGCTATAATTTGCTCTGGGAATGGTCTAATAAAATCATCTATAACCGAAAGAGTTATACCTGAATCAGGAGGTCCTAATAAATCCCTTTCACCACCATAATTGAAATTATTTTTATTTATATTATTAATTTTATTATTCATATTCTTATTCATATTGTTGATATTACTATTATTATTATTTATATTGTTGATATTACTATTATTCATGTTATTCATATTGTTGATATTAATATTGTTCATATTATTTATATTGTTCATGCTGTTCATGTTCATATTGTTGATATTGTTCATATTATTAAAATTATTATAACCACTGTTATTTTGATCGCCTATTAATTGTTGTCCATATTGACCCATTGGCATTGGTTGTTGGGGTCTTTGTAGTTGATGTTGATTTTTTAATTGTTGTAATTGTTGTTGTTGTAATTGCTGTTGCTGTTGTTGCTGTTGCTGTTGTAATTGTTGTTGTTGTAATTGGTGTATTTGTTGGAATTGTTGGAGTTGATACTGTTGTGGTGATAAACTATTCATTTGTTGTTGAAATTGTTGTGGTGACATAGCATTCATTTGATTCATTTGACCCATTTGATTCATTTGACCCATTTGGTTCATTTGATTCATTTGATTCATTTGGCTCATTTGGTTCATTTGTTGCGGCATCTGTAATTGTGGTGGTTGTAACTGAATTTGCTGTGGTGATTGAATTTGTTGTGGTGATTGCTGATATTGTTGCTGTTGTTGTGGTTGCTGTTGAACCTGAGCTGCATATTTACTTGGTTTACCATTTTTATTAATATCTTGGTGAAATTTAAATTCTAATTGTTTTTGATAGATACGATGAAGTTGATCTGAAGTGTGTGATCCATCACTATTATATCCCATTTCATTATTCATATTTGTTCCTCTACTTGCTTGTTTCATATTTATGTTATTTATATTATTGTTGCTCATGCTATTCATATTACTCAAACTATTTATATTATTCATATTATTTATATTATTCATATTATTTAAATTATTTATATTATTCATATTATTTAAATTATTTAAACTATTTATATTATTTAAATTTATATTCATACTATTTATATTGTTATTGTTATTGCTATTACTATTATTACTATTGAATGATCTATTACCTGTCATATTTTGATTAGATTGGAGTGACTGGATAACTGGTGAGGGGCCTCTAAATGGTGAAAGTGATGGTGATGATGATGGTGATAAATGTGGAATATTATTACCACTATTGTGTGGAATTTGTCTTATACTACCATTTGAACTGTTTAAACTTTGTACTTTTTGTTGTATACTTGGTTGTTGTTTAAATGGTGCTGGTTGTGGATCATCTATCTTTTCAACACATTCAATAATTTCAGG